GGTAAGTCAGTGTGATTGCATGACACTGGTGATGGGGATGCCATACAGATTCATGTCAAAAATACCGAACTATCCCTTTAAACTAATGGTCACAGAACAACTAACACAGATACACCTTCTCTATACTTAATTCATTGGTTTACATTTAAAATAGTCATATTATGAATTTTAGAAAACAGTAAGACAGTAATAGATTGTTGCCTTGGGGAGGGGCTGCACACAATGCCCATCTCAAAAAATGCCACGATAGCCTACTGATACCCCAGGAAAGTGTTGGACTGGTGTTTAGTGACCATATTTGTTATATCTCATTTCTTTTTATTTATTTTGTTGGCCAAAGTGCTGAATCCCTCCTGCAGGATAAAATAAGATTACGTTGTCTTATTTATCTAAATAAGGGGCTTAGTTTCCCTTTATATCCAAAGTAAATGTATAATAAAACAAGAGGGAGAATATTAAACTATATTTTATTTCTGTTTCCCCAACCTCCTTATCCTTTTGAAAAGCAAATGTAATTATTTTCTAAACCGAGGACATATTTGGTGGTGAGACATCAGGCGTGTACTCTGAAAGCAAGACTGCAGCTAAATTATCCCTTTTTTAAAGCAATGGATCAAAAAGGGCAACATTTAAAGATCAAATTAATGTTATAAACTTTCTCACATCAAAATTGGTCATCATTTGTAATAATACCATTCTATTTAGTGTGAGATGGTGCGATCCAGCTGTGCTCTGATCACTAATGTTGTGTTTGATTCACATTCAGTGTTATGTGCGTCTCCTGGTGAAGATTAAAATGAGTTTTTCCATGTCTTTTTGTATAATACGACAAAGTTTGGAACCTGCCTTGATACAATTTGTCAAGACGGAACAAAATGAGACCAAGACCAGGAAAAAAAACAGGTTGAGACCAGTCTAAGACCCCATCCCCATTATTGTTCATAACAAACTATTACTCAAGTTAAGGTACAGCGGATGATATCTTTATAGTAGAGAATAGTTGTATTTGTTGGCGTAGTAGTTTTTCACATAACTATCTAACCAACATGGTGCATCTACTACATCATTAGGGCATCTAACAGGGTTGTCTACAGGATGAGATTAGCTTTTTTATATAGTTAGTGGTAAAATCTTTACTGGGGAATATCCCCATCACACCACTGTTTGCACATCTGTTTGCAGAAAGTATTTTGACATTAAAAATAAATCCTCCTTGTATTCAATTATCCAATAAAACAGGCTTGTTTCTGTTGGTAGTGTTAACGCTTTACCTAGCACTTTTTTTTTTAACAAGCTGTGATTGGGAAAGTTCCCAATCTACACATTATTTTAAAAAAACAAGTGTTTGCCTCAACTTTATCACAGGCTGCAGCAGTAAAGTTCAATTCATGCAGCACTGTTGTGTTTACACCAGAAGTGAGGGTGATATGCCGGCTATCATAATGAGCAATAAAGCTTTTTTATTGTGGATGTTATTGCCTCCTGTTGTGAAGGTATGAATTTTAGTCAACTCTTTTTCAAATAAATTCAAATGAAGGTCAAAGTGCTTCAGCCAAAACACTTTACCAGAGTTAGCTGTGAAGATATGCAGAGGATAAGCAGAGCCTTGACCAAAATGGTGCATAACAAATATATAAAAATTAGAACAGAAGAGCCGGGCGATTCTGAGGACTGAGTACATTCAGCAAATGGCAACTGACTCGCCATTAGCTGACAGCAGAGACAGGATGCAAAGGGGGCAGGCTGAGGAAACAACTCTGTGTTTTGCTTGTTTGAATGTTGTGCAATCAGAAAAGCACTGACAACTTTACATAAGAGAAGGATCTTTTGTTTCAATGAGGCCATAAAATCTGATTTGATGTGATTTTTAGAGACACCCACACATCGGACCTCTGCTCCATTAAAGTAAAAGAGGAGATCAAGAGAGCTGTGGACAGCTAGATGAAGCATCCTGGATTTGTTATGTTGGGTCTATTGTATATGAGCACTAATAGCAATAGCATTGGTTAGTATTAGTTTAAATTCACATTCCCTCTAGCTTGTATCCTGTCACTGATTCCAAATGGCTCCTCTCTCTCCTGTACATATCCAAGGTGCTGATCTAGTTTCCCACAACCTTCATTGGATTTCTTCTTTTTCTCCGGTTCCTGATAACAGCCATAAATAGAGCAGCAGTCTAGGCTCTTGTTGCGTTTGTGTCTCTGCAAATCACATCACCTTTAAACTAAAGGACTGTAGAGTCACCTTGCAATCAAATATCCCGCCCCATTGAGATATTACTAAATGGAAAATCAAACCAAACCGGACTGAACCAGCCCATCCTCGTCTAGATTACATGCTAATGGAGAAGCGGAGATAGGAAATCATAATTGGTGTCACTAAACAATAAAATCTGTTGGTCCTTACTTGATGAGATCATGTGCGGATGTATCTGCTCCTTGTTCCTGCTTAACAGCAGCAGCTGCAGATGGGACATGGGACGATAATGGAGCCGGCATAGAAACAGGGGTGGATGGACCAGCTGTGACTGCTGGGCCAGAACTGGGTTCCGTTTTCACTGTGGAAACAACAGGAGAGCAGAGACACATGGTAAACAAAGGAAACACGCCCTGCACAATTAAATTGAACCAAATGTAACAGAGTTACATATTAGATAATATCATAATGGTGATAATAAAAAAGTAATTATTGCAACAAGCACATCAGTATCAATAGCAATAAATTCATCATTTCTTTTTCGTCCATTTCTAATCTCTGCTTTTGTCCTCTAATAAAAACAACAACAAAAAATAAAATTAACCATAAAGTTTAGCTGGTTGTAATATACCAAAGGAGCATTCTGCTTTTTTTTTCTAAAGAAACGATAACAGGGCAGTTTTGAAAGGATAATTATGCCAGGACATAAAGGAGAAGCCTTAATTTTCAACTGTTAGGATTGTTTCATCCTATTCATTATAAGTTTTGTGTGTTAAAGCCTGATAAACTCCTCTGCCAGAATGACAACACAATGACAACAATGAACGGTAATAAACTTCACACCTAACTATGAATAATATAGGGTTTTTGTGGAAATCTTTTCTTATTTTATACTTCTAAGCCCTGAAATATAGATAATTGATTCTATGACCTTACTTAATGTTAAGTTGTAATTATACTGATTAATTAATTAGTGATCTGATAGGAGAACCAAGGTTAGACTGAGGATGGGCTCCTCTTACCTTGTGCCAGAGGTGGGACTAGTGATAGTGGGATCTGGCTGGCAGGGCTTAAGGAAGCTCCAGCAGCTCCAAGGGGTGTGGATGTAGAGGAGGAGGAAGCACTGTTGGAAACTGGGCCTTTAGACACCACTATACACAAAGAAAACACAACTTTAGATAGCAGTAGATACTTTGGTAAATTTGTAATGCTTAATGACCTTACAATAAAAGACTATATAAACGCCTGGATTTCTGTCTGAATTTAAACTATTTCTGCTTGTAAACTTGTAAAGAACATAACAAAAAAATATAACTGATAAGAATATTATAAGTTCACATTCTTTTTTTCTCATCTGTAAGATGTATTATTTGTTTTCAACAAACAATGCCTCACCTTTACCAACAGGCATAAATATGGTTTGGAGCCCGGCAGAGCCAGCGCCAACTCCGAGCTGCTTCAGCTGATTAGCAGGGATAGTTAGGACTGTCTGCTGAGAGCTGGAGCCTGCAGAGTGAATCTTCAACATGCCTGACAAAAACAAAACAAATATTTATTTAATATGCAAAAAAAATTTGGCAGCTCAGAATATCCTGATCAAGGTATTTTCGTTTTAACCTGAGAGGGCGGCACTTGTCTTTCCTCCTCCAGCTGCCACCCCGCTGACTAACGACGATGCTGGAACTAAAGAGGATCCGCCGCTCTTGGGAACACCCACCACGGTGCCCACACCAGCTCCTTTGGACATGCTGACGACAGGCATGTTTGTGACCCCTTTTGGGAGCGACACCACCGCCCCAGTTGATCCAGTGGCGCTCTTGGTCACTGTGGCAGCTCCTTTGACCAAAGAAGCCACCGCTGCCTTGGACAGGCTGCTGCAACCGGTAGCACTGGTGTTTTTTGCTGCGCTGATGACCGCTGCTTGGTTGGTTGACACCAGGAGTGAGTGGGGCTGAGAGGCAGGCTTTCCACCATCAGCAGCCTGTGAGGACATAGAAATACAATAATCGTCAATTATTCATTTTTTTTAATCTACTAAATATATTTTTATATTTAGTTGTAATAACTTTCTTCTCTTCTTTGCAGAAAAAGCAGAAATCATCAGGTTAGTTAATCAACCTCCATCAGTCTGAGTAAACCCCTGACCAAACTCCAAACACTCTTTTCCTCTCAAAAGACCAAAATATATCTTAATTGCATCTTTTTAGCCGCTGCTTTAGAGATCAGCGTGAACCTTATGCTTCTAGATGGTATTGCAACATTTGACAGAGCTGACCACAGTTTGATCGTTTTTCATGGAGAGAATTAGACTGGGGTGCTGCATTGGCCTGGCTTCAATACCAAAAACAGTTTATTTTATTTATTTAAAACCATACTTATTTTGCCTTCAGTCAAACCCAGAGGCTGAACAAGTGGAGCCTCCTGCCCAACCAGCAAGGATGCAATAAGTGGTTTCTGAATGATAAAGAAGAAGCCGAATTTCTTATGAACCACCGTAAAGTTCCAGCACTACACTGAAAGCCAAGTTTCCGCTACATTGAAGGGGAACACTTTTTTTTTTGTTTTTTTACATTGGCCCCTTGATTTTACGTAATTACATCATGTTCTACTCACCCATATTAGTTTTGTGTCATTTGGAGCTGTTCCAAAGACATTCGGTTTTGTTATATCCAAGTATTATCTTCCTATGGGCAACGAATTGAAGGCACAAACTAAACTGTTCATACTTTATTCTTTATGGTACGCCAGCATTCATAACCTGTAGGTAAATCACTGTCCCGCAGACATCCGAGGTTATACTTTTTATATCTATATTTTTCAAAAACAAAGCAGAGTGTGTATGACTGATATTGGTGAGTAGAACATGATGTAATAACATAAAATCAAGGGCCCAATGTAAAAAAAACAGTGTTCCCCTTTAAACTATCCTGTTATATCTTCTCAACTGCCTAGAAACATCTGAAGGTTTAGGTCAAAGTTAGTGTTTGATTGTATATCATACTTCTAGAAGGCATTTTGATTGTTGTAGAGAAAAATAAGACGCTATGAATGCAAGCATGCCTAAGGAATTAGCATCACGCTTACCTTTAGTTGTCTGTTCTATGCATAATACCAGAATTCATTAATGCCAGTTGATTATTTCCTTTATTTTAAAGTTATATATTATTGTTTTGTTTTGCTGTTTCTAGGCGCAGTGCCCGGTGATAAAATAATTGAAAAGTTGTTTTCACAGATACAAAATAAATAAATAGAAACTGACCACAAAAGCATGAACGTATCACCAAAACAGCCAAGAAGCGATAAAGACACAAATGGAAGTACAAATATGTGCAAAACCTCAATTTTGAATAACAGTTCCCCATTAAAAGAATAAAAAATGTTCATCTCCTCTGAAACATCCACCATCAATCTGGATTATTTCAATTATAGCTTCAAAAAACTAGTGTGTGATCTTAAATTTAGATGTTGAAGCACTTCTGCATCTGCTTTTGCAAACTTGTGCTGTTGTAGATAGAAGAGACCGGAATACCATTATGCACTTTAGAACAGATTTAATCATCTGTCTAGTCACTGGATTATGCAAACATGAAAATGTAACTCCTGTCTTCACTGGCGTCTTCAGCTCCAGCAGACAAGACTAAACAGACTACTATTGATGCACCAAGGACGACGTTGAATGCTTACAGTCGCTCAGTGAAGAGACTAGAATAAGATAGCTTTAAATAGCAGGAGGGAATTTAGTTTTCCAATTCTTCAGTTGGTTTAAAATATTTTCTAACACAATGATCCCCTATATTTGATTTTATTCAAACAATATATTTGCATTTTAATCACATATTTTTTTTTCTATTCTAAATTCAATTCTTATATTTAAAAGTTTTAAACCCATTTGGTTAGCTCAATGTGAGCTTCATAACTAAAGTGAACTTTAATTAATCTTTGTACAAAGACCCGGACGTTAAAAGCATGAAACAAAAAAACGTATGAAGTTATTTTAGCAGATTTTTATCTACAGTAAACCTAAGTTTAAACACTGAGCAAAAAAAAAAAAACTGTAGCCTGTCGACCGACATGTTAATGTGTTAATTTGACCACGATAAATGGCAAAGAGATGGCTTTATCTACAGGCAGCATGACCTGAAGTGAAGCTAAAGGAAATGGACGGTGTTATAAATATTCAGAACCCACCATGTCATATATCAAAGCACGATATTGTCACCAAGAGGGCAGCTTGTGTATAAAGCAGAAACTTCTACCCTAGACTTGTCCTGCTGTAGTTTGAGTGATAAGCGGAGTTAATGAAATCAAAGTGACCTTTTTAGTAAATCTTTATAAGGTTTATAATGTAACCAAAGGGCACCGTGTTTTCAGGAGATTATGAATAGACCAGTTATTACACAATAAAATACGGTAGTAAGAAACATTTGCACCAAATATAGATACTTGGTAAGAAAAAAAAAAAACCCTACACACTTTAGTTTTAAAAGTATATACCTTTAATAGTTTGAGTGTGAAGGACAGACTCTCTGCCTAAAAAGAGTCTATTTGTGTTTAACATTTGCACTGTGAGAGCTGTGCAACACAGAGAGCTCCGCTGATCAGGTCACTGCTTTTATGGAATTCTCAAAGACAAAAGACCTACTTGGTCCCATAAAGAGGGTTTGAATAGACAATCCACCCACAAAAACCTGCTGCATGTTACGCCACATTTGGGTTGTTTTTTATGAGGCCTGTAAAGCATGTCCTCAATATATCATTGTGCATATTAATATCATAAGGGATATTTTTGAGCACAACAATAACACTTAGCCAATATAATCTAAATCTTCTGAACTTGGGTTTGCTTTATTTAGCTAGTGTGTCATTGGCTGTGTCTGAAGATCCGCCCTAACCCCTAAATCCCTCAATAACTATATAGAGCGGGGACTATATAGTGGACTTTATAGTGAACTCAGTTAACTTACTTTTCGCTCCCTGTTGGTCACGTAACTCCGCCTCCCTGCACGGTTCCTGCGCCCCCTTTGTTATTTGTCATTTTATGTGGCAGTGGCCCGCTGTCAGGTAGCGACAGCGGACCACTGCCACATAAAATCCCATGATTACTTTGTGAGAGCTCTCGCAAAGCATTACGGGATGTATTTACTCATCAAGTGACCATGGATGATCACTACTTTGCAAAGGTGCATTGTGGGAAATTTAGAGTCCACTATTTTTTCATCCACTAGACCTTCAGACTCTCATTTAACATGGCGTAAATATAGTGCCCTATTTCAGCGTTTCCCAGCCTTTCTTGACTTGTGTACCCCTTTGGGCATTTTGTCTTACAATGAGCATTCCTGTCAGTCAAAAGTATTGATGATTGTCCAAAAGTGGAACATAAAATAACTGAAAATGAAACAAAAACTATTTAACTTAATCTTTCAATTTGAGAATTTAATTCTTAGGAATTGAATTATTTTCACCTCAAACAAAAAACAACATAAACATGTTGCCCAGAAGTTAGTAAGGAATGGAAGTAAATATAAAAATAAAATCATATTATTAAAACTGGAACTCCTCTGAGTAACTCCCTTATAATCACATTTTAACTTGATGAATTGGGAACAAACATGTAGTCAAACTGACTTAATGACTTTTACTTTGTTTTCATGGAGACACTTGAGCTGCTTGATGAGCTCTGATAGCTCAGTGTCAAAAACAGCTGATCCCAGGCTGTTCTCTACATCCAGTCTCTTCCTCTGCTTGGTTTTGATACATGTCAAAGCTGAACACAAAGAAAAAAGTACTTCTTGGTTGATAAAAGCTAATTATCCAACTGGGTCATCACAAAGCAAAACAGAGCCCAGCCAAGCTATTTTATTTTACTACCTGAGAAATAAAATATTTTCATGTACTCCTTGCAATGCACTCGTGGACCACTAGGTTGGAAATCACTGCCCCTATATGGTGGTTATAGTGGTTTAAGACACCCATTGTATCCTAGCAGCAGAAGCTCACACCTGATACAAATGACATTTTAAGCATTTTGAGAGGTGATTTTACACAGGCAAAAAAGAAATAGGCCTAATATTTACCTTACATTAAAATCTTTGTTCTTTAAATCTGTTCAAACTGACAATATTTTGAGATAAGAAGCATTTAAAGGCAATTTTCAAAGCACCAGCTGTTTGGNAGCATTTAAAGGCAATTTTCAAAGCACCAGCTGTTTGGTTAAAAAATGGCTTAATTAGACAGCTGCTGAGCTCCATGATTGAGGCTAAAAAAAGACATGCCTGTTGTTGATTTGCTGCTGCTCCTGCTGTACTGACGGGGGTTGAGCAGGCAGCTGTTATGACTCCGCCTGTCATCCTCAGTGTGGTGGTACCCGGCTTGGACATCTGAGTTGCTCCTGGGGTTGATAATGTCTTCACAGAACCATCTGACAGCTTCAACTGTGCACCCTGTGAGCTGCCAACAACCTGCCCATCATGGCAAAAAAATAAACATCACACACATTATTTCCATTATGCTTGAATTATAAACAAAATGGGAGGTGGTACATAGACAAAAAAGTCACAACAAATCTAATAAAATTTTTAAAAACTCAGCAAAAGCAAATTATTGAGTTCAAATACAAAACAAAAGAATAGTACATTCATCAAGATAATATTCCAGTCTTAGAAACATGAGCAAACATTTTGAAATGTTTATATGTGAATATAATAGTCATACCACTACCTCACCGTTGTTCCTTACCTAATACACTTTAATGTAAAAGTAAATCCACCTGTATATAAGCCATCCGGATTGTACATATCACACCTCAAATCTCTGTGTTACTCCCTTGTATTTTTTTATTTCTTATTTTTATTTTGTTTTTCATACACTTGCACCTTAATCCTTATTTATCTTGATATATTGTATATACCTTGATATACTGTATATATATTGTCTATCCTTAATGCACCTTTTTCCTCCTTGTTTGCACCTTCTTTAATTAATATGCCAATATGTGACCAGTGAATTTCTCCGCTGTGAGATCAATAAAGCTCATCTAATCTAATCTAAGGGGAAAACAAGGTTGTAGGCTTTTTTATTTTAAGTTGGGTAGAAAAATAAGAATGAAAAACAGCTTTGATCCAGTTACATGTAATGAATGCTAAAATCTACATGAAGCCACTGAATCATCTCCAAGTGAAGCTGAACAAGCTTGAATGAGGCACATCTGCCTTTGACCTGTCCAGACCTCAAGACAAGCTTTCTATCCCCACCTGAGCCAAGATGGCCGCCTTCTGTCCAGCCGTCACCCGGATAGCCTGCTGGGTGGAGGTAGCTGCAGACGATCCTGAATGACTGGCCGAACTGGAATTCCCCTGCTTCCCTGATCCCTGGGATGGCTGACCAACCAGGAACGTACCCTAAAAAAAAAAAAAAAAAATGGAAAAGAGAGCCAAACACAATTATTTAATGAGTTGTGGTTGAAAGCACCGATTTGATCAGCTACAGAGTTCTTAAACTATCCAAACTGGTAAACTTCAACCTTTGGTTTTCCTGCTTTTTTCAGATTTGAACCTGGGTCAGCCGCGTCAAGGACTAAGGCCTCTGTACATGGGTCATACGCCCCCCTTCAAAATATTCCTAAAAAATTATTTAATCAAAATACTTCCTTTTCTAATAAGAGATCAGACAGTTCAGGTTCAGAATGGATGCAGTTTAGTTAACTGAACACAACTGAAAACTGAAGTTAATTTTGTGCAATAAGTGGAGATTTGTTTGACTATAAATGGCACACTTAAGTTGTTTAGGTATAAAAATATTTCAAGTCACTTCATAATTAAGGTCAAATAAAGTATGCACTACAACTTTATTTCTACTATCATTATGTAAATAAGTCTAAATAATGACTTTAGGAGAAGAGCAATTTGTGTTTTAAAAAAGAAAAAATTGAAATTCTCAGTGAAAGTTGAGCAGATGTTCATTATATAACCTGCTTAAGCTGAGAACCAGATAAATGCCTTAAGGCAGAATTTAATTAAGAACCCATTTCTTCCAGACTACCAAAATCAGTCCGTTACTAAGTAACAGCAACTGTTTTAGAGAGACAACAATAAAATCTAACAAAAGGTTCTGCAACACTAGTGTGCTAAATGGATCACAGATACAAAGGAACAAATAAGTGACCTTTATATAGACCATGAATGGCATTTAAAAAAAAAAAAGACAAGAGTTTCCTCTGCAAAAAAAATAAAATAAATTTTTTTTAACCCACCTGTGGGGTTTGCTTTAAAATATAAGATGTATAGGAGAGGTTGGAAGGTAAGCTGCTTGAAGATGAGGAGGATGAGGAGTTCTGAGAGCCGCTTGCACTTGTTGACGAGCCGCTCTGGGACTGGTGACCTAAATAAACAGTCACATTTGCATCAACTGAATCAGGTAAACATTCATTACTTCACATATCTTACGCTTTAAATAGGATGTTTTATCTATGATGACAAACAGTGACAGGTAACGGTAAACATCTCCTGCTGTCAGGTATAGATAGCCTCATGTTGTTGAGACGTAGCTCAAACTATTTCCAGGTTTTAAAGAATCATCAACAGAAAAACAGATTTTAATTCATTTTATTTTGAGAAATATACAAACCAGTGACGCAACTTGTCTTACTTGCCCCAGAGGCTCTGAGGATGGCACCTTGTGGAATGAGAAGCAGCTTTCCCTTCCCTGATGGGTTCTTACTGTTGGTGGTTAGGTAGAGTTTGGTACCTGGGGGTAAATTGGCCAGGTTGGCCAAATTGTTCGCTGGCAGCTGAAGAGTAGCCATCACTATAAAATAAATAAATAAAATACAAAATATTTACTTGCCTTGTGTTTTTTTTCACAAATATTATGTTTATATTCTATTACACAGACAACATGTACATAATATTTATGGATAACAGCATCATATGCAACAGGTTTTAAGTACATTTCTATTTAGAAAAGCACAAACAAAGAAATGGTCTGGTGATAAATCAGCTGATTTTCAGCTTGAATGTATCTGACCAGTAACAGATCATCTGTTTATAGCCAGTCCGTACTGATTCAACCTGAACAGACCCAGTTTAATAATGTGCAGAACTAAACCCAAGTGCTATACATCACCAATTGGTTTGCCAGGTTAAGTGGATCCTAGTCTGGAATCAACAAATTTTGAATGTTTTTAAATTAACGTTTCAATTTATAATTTATAAAAATAAATTTAAAAAAATGCAACAGAGCTCAGATGGGTTCATCTCTAGGTTGAACATTTAAAATAAGCCTGTGTGAACTCTGACCTCCACTCTTGCCGCCTGAGCCACCAGCAGCCTTGGCGCCGCCTGGCTGACCCGTGATACTGCCAGCTCCACTGACAATGGCTTTAGCCACTCCCTGAGCCAGAACCTGCTTCCCTCCCATCACCTTGGAGACAGATGGGCTGCCCTTTGCAACCAGAATCTGTCCACTGCTGATGGCCACCTGTTTCACTGAAGACTGAAGAGTTGAGCTCACAGGAATACCCAACACCTTTAAAGACAAGGAGAGCAAGTTCAGTTTATCTCTTATTTACTTGGAAATTATGAAGCCCATTTATTCAGAGGAATAATTGGTCCTTTTTTATGTTAATGAAGCTGAACCTTGCTAGTTGTGGAACCTGTGGCCTCTCCAGCCCGTTTCTGGCTCGACATGGAGATCATGTGACCTCCTTTCACTGCGACAAACTGGTGGGCTGCAGCAGCAGCAGGTTGCTGCTGGCTGGTTACTGTGGAAACCATCTGCTGTTGCTGTGTTGTAACTTCGCCAGGCTCCTGCTTGATTAGAACCTGCAAGGAACACAATGAGAGAGGGACTATAGCCACACTTGGCAAAAATCACAGGAGGCTAAAATACTAAAACCATTTGGAAACATGCAGGAATCAGTACTTATACAGATATCATATACCATCTGATGCCTTCTCACTGGTGTGAGGAAAAACTCAATTTTCCAACAGACTCCCGAGAATTAGGAACCCATTTTAATGCACTAAGCAATTTTGTAGAAGCATCATTATTTATTCATAACATTTTCTTTTATGTTTTCCATATGTTGCCATGTGTTTCAATTGCTAGCAGATGTTAGAACTGAAAAACAGAGATAAAATAAAATCACCACTATAAAGCATTATGAGAATAAGAAGTGGTAATTTGACAACATCCAGTGAGAGATACTTCTTATGACATTGAGATATCCAGGTCTGCTAGGAAAGACCCCCCCCGCCACGACTCCTAGGAGGATGTCCTATTTTAATAGTTGGCAAGGTGCACACATCTGCTGAACATAGCAACCCAACTTCTAATAATAAAACACGGTTTGATAACAACACCATTGATGATGTGAGGTTTCAGCACCGAATGCTTTTAAGGTCACAAACTCACCTTGACCCCCGATGAAAGGAGAGTGCCAGTGTGAACCTTAGGTGCAGGAGAGCGAGTGCCTTGAGTCTGTTTGGCAGAAGATGTTCCTGTGTAATAACGCACATATTGACAGCATTTTATTGAATTAGACGAATGTAGATGGGAGGACTTCTGAAGTTTTTGTTACTCAATGATTAGCATATATGCTTCAACAGAGGTTTCTCACGCAGGTTATTACATTCAGGTACATTTATCCGCTAAAAATACTTTTCTTTTTATGTAATGTATGTAGAAAAAATAAATAAGTACACGTTGTGAATCAGCTACAGAACTCCCATCCAACTTGTCCAGTGGGACGATAAAGTGCTTAATAGGAATCTGATCCATTTCCCAGATCTGCCTTAGCTGTGCACTTAACAGATGGAGCGTAGGAGCAGCTGAGTGTGTGTAAAACTGAAGGGGAAAGAACTCCACATTGTTTTTTGTTTTTTTTGATGAGTAAGTGTTTTCAATATCTACGACCATGTAAAAACCTCTGGGTGCACAGTAAATAGGCACCTTTTTCAAGCCAGACAGAGGTTTTGTCCTTCGATTAACATTTATGTGAAAAACCTGATGAGAACTTAATGCCATATCCAGTATTATCTGGTCATGAAACAAATCAGTCACTATGGTAACCACTTATCCACCTATCCATCTGGATAACATGCATTAGGGCTATCAAAGAACATGAATATAACAAGAAAGCAGACTGAAACATTGGTGGAAAGGTGTAGAGAAAGTCTAAAAGTTATTTTTCATTTTTCTGCTTCCTAGTACAAATTTTGCTGCACATTTTTCCATCTATGTGGGAAACGAAGACCCTGCTTTTCAATTTCACTCAAGGTTAGTTTTTATCACACAGGCATGGAGCTGGAGAAGTACCTGTGGAGGTAGCAGATGAGGACGCCATGCTGATCATCTGGCCAGGTTTATCAACTATAATGTATGGGTTGTTCAGAGCAGAGGAGGTGCTCTGCTTGCTGTGGACAGGGGTGGAGGTGGTGGGTGTCCGAGGCAGCGGTGAATGGCTGGGAGTGGAGACCGGCGAACCTGCAGACGTTTAAGCAAAGTGGCTGTTAGATATCACTGCTAGTCAGAAATAAAGAAAAACTGAACATAACTGGGAAAAACACAAGAAATTTGTTTAATCTTATAAAGTTTTATGTCTGAAATGATCTTACAGAAAAATGTATTGATTAGTAAATGTTAAGTCATATTATTTAAACTATCTCTCAGCTATGTGACACAAACTCCCATTCATTTATTTGTTTTAATTAAATCTGGATAAAACCTTCACACTTCTGTGTAAACCACTGACTGACGATCAGATGGCAAAAAACGGGTCTTTTTGCAATAACACATTTTAGGTCAACACTCCTCTGTGAGGAAGTTTTGAGAGATGTTAGTACTTTGAGAAGCAAAAAACAACAACCTGTTACCTTGCACAGTATAAAAAATAGAAATATGTAACCTATTTTAATTAAATACAGAAGATTTTTAGTTAGCTTTATTTGCAAAATACTGAGCTGTACAGAAGAAAACTTTGAATAGACATAAGGCTGAAATAAGTTTCAGCCTTAAGTTTATTAAAAAAGTAAGCATGAACTTAATTTAAAGCTCTTAAAAGATAAGAACTTCATTAAAAAAAAAAAAT